ACATTATGCTGCTGATAGATTAGTTTAATATATTTCACAACTACCACAAAAGTAAAGTGACAATAAAGACCTTTACCTTAACTCATAAAACCTCAAGGATGAATAATAGAAGGAAGGGATAGTAGTGATGAAATTTTGGGACTTAAAACTGAATCCTGGGCCAGCAGTGGGGAACTCAGCAGCAACTCTACCGACATCCTAGAATCTTCAAAAAGCTTGATAATTGGTGGCATCGGGTACCTTTAGTAGAGGCTTCAGGTTCTGTTAGTAGAGGTGGAGATAAAACTGGAAATTGGAGGACTGGTTAAAGATGTGTATAAGAAACAGACTCCCAGATCCTCTCCTTCAACAGCTCCCAGAGAAACAACCGTCTTTTCCCTTCATTGACAGAGGTCTGGACTTGTCTCTGAAGAGTGTAAATCAGGCTGTTTCTGGATTGTTGACTCCTAATTGCTGGTACACATGAGGGCATAGAGTTTGAACAAGACCAGGGGAGAATAAGTGGACCTTTGCATATTGAATGTGAACTCTCCAGGGTCCTTCTCCAGCTCTGCTTTCAGAACACTGGTCTTATAGCCTTCAGTCTGGAGTTTGCAAGATTCCTCTCTGGGGAATCTGACCAACCCAAGAGAAAAACACTTACATGAACTAGCGCAATCACAACTCCCTATCCAGAGCCATAATTAGCAAGTCCTACCCTATGTGCACAGGGCTTTCAAATAACCCAGTGTCCCTGTCTTAAGTATGTGCAAACAGCCAAGGACTGTCTGACATAGGAGAAGGTCTAAAATGTTAAAGTGTCCCAAAACAACAGAACAAAGCAACTTGGAACCAGAAACTGTGCAAAGAGATCATAAACCAGCCTTTCCAAACGAAAGGATGAATGTCTCTGAGAGTTGAAATTTGTTTTGTCTTGTTCACAGTACTGGGAATTGAACCCAGGGCTTTGTGCATCCTAGGCAAGCACTCTTACTACTGAGCTACATCCTAGCTCTTTTTAAAATTTTGTATTTTTTTTAAAGAGAGAGAGAGAATTTTTTAATATTTATTTTTTAGTTTTCAGCGGACAGAACATCTTTGTTTGTATGTGGTGCTAAGGATCGGACCCGGGCTGCATGCATGCCAGGCAAGCGTGCTACCGCTTGAGCCACATCCCCAGCCCTAAAATTTTGTATTTTAAGACCCTGTTTTAGGAAGGTGTGTGTTCGGGGGTGACTGGAGACATAGCTCCATGGTAGAGTACTACTGTGGACTTCATTCACATATGGGGGTGGGGGATGAATGATTTGCTATTTAAAAAATAAAGAAGTTACTTAAAAATATGATAACAAAAATGAAAAACTTAATAAAGGGAAGGGAAGATAAAAATTTAGATCATTGCCCAAAAAGTAAAAAACAAAAAGGGGATGTAAGAGAAAAGTAAAGAACTCAGGTGTTAGCCTAAAATTCTGTCATCTTGAATGATAGACATTCTAGAAGAGAGAACTGAAAAATGAAAAGGAAAACGTCATTAAAAAAAATTTGAGTGCCCCAAACCCACCCATAATCCCAGCAACTCAGGAGGCTGAGGCAGGAGGATCACAAGTTTGAGGCCAATGTGGGCAACTTACAAGACGCTGTCCCGAAATAAAAAGGGCTGGGGATGTAGCTCAGTGTTAGAGCACCCCTGGTTCAACCCGAGCCCTGCCCCCCCCCATATTTTTTTTTTTAGAAATTTCCCAGAACTGAAAGTCATGCACTTTTGGATTCAAAGTGCCGAGTAGGGCATCAGTTCAAGGCATGTCATTAATGATATTTCAGAACACCAAGAAGCTAAAAATTCCAAAGAGAAATGAAAGAAATAGTCACATACTAAGGATAAGGATAAGGGATCAGATTGGCAATATATTAGCTAGTCAATGGAACAATGCCTTTAAATCCCAAAAGGAGATTATTTTCATCTTAGAAATCTATGCCTAGGCAAAATTCCATATGTAAACACAGAATAAAGATATTTTATGGTATGTAAGACTTTACCAAGTTTACTTCCAAAGCATCCTTTCCCAGGAAGAGATACTTCACTAAAGCAAAGCAATAAACCAATAAAGAAGAAAACCCAAGTCCCAGTTTAAGTCAGGCAGGGGACTCTCCGGGTGGATGAAGTGTGGTCCCTGGTGTCAACTACTCAGCATAGCCAGAGATCAAATAGCCAGAAGACAGAGCAATGCATAGGATATTTTTGAAAGAGACACAAGAAAATCAATAATGGTTATCTTGTAAATAAAAATGGGAAGGCAGAGAAAGGGCATTTCCCTTTACATATATTACTTTTTTCTTTTTTAAATATATACACATATTTTTAGTTGTTGATAGACCCCCATTTATTTATTTATTTATATGCAGTGCTACACATGCTACAGAATCACTCCACCACTGAGCTACAATCCTGGCCCCCATCACACTTT